CTTGATTGATTACGCAGCCAATCTTGAAACAAAAGGCGAGGAAACTCACAGAAGGAGAATTAATAAATAGAAGAGGAAGTTGAGTTGACAATAGTTATAGGGATATTAGGTTTGTTTTATAAAGAATACCAGTTATAGCGTAGGAATCTTCATCGTTTCATCTGCCCGCCTGAAAGACCCAATTGCTTTGAATGAATGATTACTCAATATGCGAGTACATGAGGCGTTGATCCTCTACTGAAATATGAAGGAATGGAGTACCGTAATAAGGGAGAATGATCGTGGAAAGGGACATTAAGAGAGTAAGCGAAGAAAGAAAGGAAAAGGTGAAGGCGAATGGTGGATCATGGAAGACAAAATTCCAGTAGGCTAGACGCCGTTGGTGTGGGTCTCAAGCGTTTTCTGGCCAATGTCTAATCCGGAGCCAGACACTGATCTTGATGCAAATCTGGACTCTGAGGAAGAGGCAGACGGGCTGACCGGTTGAGAACTGAGAAGGGGCACTTCTGGAGGCAATTGAGAGTTATACGATTTTTTGTGAAGGCGCCTCGAAGAAGCAGCGATTTTCGGACGATTCAGGCCAGTTTGGTCTGTTTCCGGCTCAATCTCCCCCTCAGAGCTATCCCAGTTCTCAGGAATTGATAGGTCCAGCGAAGGCGCTTGCGAATCGGCCGCAACTATGCCCATAATACGATACATATGGGTTTAATAGATGATGAAGAAGAGAGGAAGATGAAATGTATAAGCGACGAGTGGGAAATAAACGAAAGGGAGGAATTGGAAAGAAAAAGAGCTCAAACACAGTGACAACAGACATACGAAAGCAGAGTAACAAGGGACATACACAGTAGGTGCAAACACAAACACGAAAAGTTTGAAAAAATATAAATACATAAATATTTCTAAGAGGAATAAGGATAGACTACACAATTGACTAAAAATGCAACAGAAGAATAGTAGCAAAACAAAAAAGAGAGAGGAAAGCTTTGTTAGATAGGTGAACAATTCAATTTAGGTGATAATAGGATAATTATAGTTAAATAATAAAAATACAGTAGGACGAAGAGAAGAAATCAGGCAAGTGGATTGATAGAAGACATGCAGGTGGACACATAAGCAAATTTGCAGAAAAAATAAAGACATTTGGGGAGAATAAAGTTGCAGAGGGGTCCAATGATGTTGGAGTTGAGGTAAAATGGTGGCTGACAATTATTAGAAAAATACATAAGGGAAATGAAGCAGCAGAGATAAGCAAAATAAGAAAAAACAATTTAGGTAAAAATAGGCTGTGATTAAAAAGGTGCGAAATTGCAAAAAGGAATGAGGTCAAATCAAATCAGTTTCAGAAATAACGGAAAAAGTTGAATCCGACACAAATAGAAAAGGATGAAAACCAACAAAATTAATGAAGATACGAGGACCAAGATGGTGAGGCATCCAATATGGTCGTAGTCTCCTTTCGATTTATAGAAGCGGCCTGACCTCGTTGTTGCAACTTGGTCTTGTTGTCAGGGCAACTTGGTAGAACGCATCTTTTCCAAAGTCCTCTACCATAGTATTTATCATAATTTGCAGCATCAGACAGTGGATTTGGTACATTCTCAGACGTTTCGTCGACATCCT